GGATTTTTTACAAGAACGCTATCAGACTACTGGCCTTGCTCACCAATATCAGCTTCTGAGTCATCTTCACCGTATGCGCCAAGAAACAACTTCATAACATTATCAAAACATAAAAAGTTAGACACATCTTATAAATAATAGAGCTAATTATCTAAGAGTCATATTTATAAACATTATAGAGTTATTTTCCAATAGTCTGCTGCTGTCCAAATTATCTAATGAAACCTATTTTTTTGGTATCTCCAATGGCGTAGCTGCCAGGAAAATTAGATATGATGATCAAGTTTTCATTAAATCAAGAATAAATTAAATTTTCCATCAGATTTCCAATGGGTTTTTTGACCACTTAAATTTGTTAACATTATCAAAAGATAAAAAGATGCACACATCTTATAAATAATAGAGTTAATTGGCGGAAGACGGTGGTGGAAAATGGTGGTGGGTGGTGGTGGCAGGTGGGTGGTGAGTGGTGGTGGCAGGTGGTGGTGGTGGTGGTGGTGGCGGAAGACGGTGGTGGAAAATGGTGGCAGGGGGTGACTAGTGTTGGGTGGTAAAAAAAAAAAAACTCAAAACTCAAAACGGAAACATACTTTTTGGCCAAATTTATAAACTGAGACCACTGATTTATAAATCAAAAATTTTACCAAATAAATTTTTATTTGAATTTTTAAAATTTTTATAAATATAAACAGAAAACAAAAAATATAAATATTACCAAACGTCACCTTAGTGTTTTGCAACGTGCGAAGATGTTAATTTTCATAAATATTAATCTACCAATTAATTTTGGCCAATAAAAAACGAAAAAATGACAATTGGTTACATCTCTGTGCACATGTCTCTAAGAAACTGAAAAATATTAAAAATTGACCTAGAACACTTAGTCAACCAAAAAATGTATACATATATGTCTGGTTAGGCTTCGATCCATGTTACAATTAAACAAGAGACACAGAGAGAGAGAGAGAAAAGAAAGAATGTGCCAGAGAGGGGGAGAGGTGGAGAGTGGAGGAGGGAGAGTGGAACAGAAGCTCCAGGACCAGGAGCTCCATGATGCCTTAGTTGAAGGGAATAATTTAGATGCATTCAAAGCAATACTGGAAAAAGATCCAAAGATTCTTGATAGGGCTAAGTTGGGTTGTTTCATTCAGACTTCTCTGCACGTAGCAGCGTACCACGGGCATTTAGAATTTGTCAAAGAAATTCTAAAGAAAAGTCCAGAACTTGTTGAAGTGCTGGATTCGCGACGATGGTCTCCTCTTCACGTGGCATCTGCTCAAGGCCATCTTGAAATTGTACAAGCACTCGTATCGAAGAATCCGGATATGTGCACAGCTCTTGATGGAGATGCTAGAACCCCTCTACATCTTGCAGCCATGAAAGGTAAGGAGGAGGTCTTGGACAAGTTGTTTGAAGCCAGCCTCTATGGTCCCCATGAGTTGATGCATGTTAAGGATGTTGCTGGTAATACCATATTGCATCTAGCTGTCAGGAATAAACAATTGCAGGTATGCCAATTATTAAGTTTGTTTTAGATTGGATTCCAATGCATTTCTTTTTATTGAAGTTAATGATGGTGAATATATCATTGAAGTTGCTGTAGGGCAAAATAGTATTTCTACCATAATCAAATTTTGAATATCAAATTTTGAACTTTTTATAGTGCTAAATAGTAATGAGATTATTAGTAATAATTTTTTTGTGTTAATGTTACGTGGTTGGGTGTTTCGTTTAGTTAGGAATCCTTAATGGAAAAATAATAAAATTGGAAATATTTTGAACCTAATTATTATTATTATTATTATTATTATTATTTCCACTTTCTTCCGGGAATGTGAGATTCTCATTTTTAAATTTCCACTTTCTTCCGGGAATGTGAGATTCTCATTGTAGAGTGAGGAAATTAGACTTTTATTAAATTTGAGAATGTGAATAGATAATCATGAATCACTTTCTCATTTCAATATGGTTCAAACGTTAGAATCATGTTAATCCAGAATTGCATTCTCAATCTTCCTTGAAAATTACTTTAAAAGTATTTATTTTTTATTTATTTAATTATTTTTATTTTATTTTATTTTATTTTTTTAAGTTGGGAGCCACGACTACCTTGGCCCTAGTGTAGCTGATATAGGAGCTCTGTTATGGAGCTCTGTTTTACATTTTTGTTTATTTATTTTTTATTTTTTATAGTGAAGCACTCATTTACCCAAAAGAGTAATTCTATAAATATAAATATATCATTACTCTTACTGGGAAATTGCTAGCTAATTACTTCCAATCTAATGTTGACAATGGAATATAAATACTGCAGGTTGTGAACTATTTGCTTGAGAAAATAAAAGCAGAAAAAACAGAAAATAGAATAAATGCAGTAAATGCAGTAAACAATTGTGGGTACACAGCATATGACATTGTGATGGAAAGTAAAAATAAGCAGGAATTCATTGACATTATAGTCACCTTTCGAAAAGTGAAAGCAATGAAAGCAAAAGATCTTTGTCAAGATGAATGGTGGTCAAAAAAACGAGACATATTAATGGTCGTGGCATCACTTATCGCGACAATGGCTTTCCAAGTTGCGGTAAATCCTCCAGGAGGTTTCTGGCAAGACAATACACCTCCACATAGAGCTGGCGAAGCTATAATGGCTTATAACTATCCAAATACATATCCGTATTTCATTCGTGCTAACACGACAGGATTCGTTGTATCTGTGAGTACAATCTTATTGCTCATAACTGGATGGCCGTTCAAGAAAAAGTATTTCATGTGGCTTCTGGTAGTGGGCATGTGGGTGACAATTACATCAATTGCTTTTACTTACGCATTTTCGATCGTAGTTGTCTCACCAAAAAACGTAAGGGAACCGCTTACTTATACAATTGTAGTTGGAGCCATAGTGTGGTGCTGTGTGATGGCGAGTCTCATGATAGTTCACACGATTCGCGGGATAAATTGCTGGTTGAAGACCAACAAAGGGATAGATGTTTGGCCACAGATTAAAGAGTTCTTCAAATCCAACACAAGTAGAAAAGATGAAAACTCAAGGAGTATCTGTTAGGTGTTGGTCTGAGGTGGAGTTGTGAGCAAAGGTGGATCTATTGAGGATGGCTGTTGCCTCTGCTGTTTGCTGTTGGTCTGTTTGGGCAGAGATCCATTTGAGGGTGGCTGCTGCTGATGATGTTTGATGCTGGTATTTTTGCTGCTGTTTGCTGGTGTTGGTCTGTTTGGGCAGAGATCTGTGGCGCAGAGAAAATTTTTTCTCTGTAATTTTCTTTTTTCTGTTTCTGTTGTTTTTGGTTTTGTTTAGTTATTAATTGGGTGTGGTTGGTTTCTGTGTTTGTGGTTAGTTACTCACCAACTCTCGATGGTGTGCTAATATATGATTGGGTAGAGTTATCGATGTCAACTTTTAGTTGTGATTGATTTATTTCATTATGATACTTTTTGTACTCATTCATTTTCTTTATTGTTGTAATATTCTAATGGTTCATCAATAAAGTTTCCTTCTTTTTTGCTTATCCAAAAAAAAAAAAAAAATGGTGATGTTCATCAAATTTAGCTAAGTGGACAAGGAAACGGATCGTCGGTCGCCCTCCCCTGTAGCCATCCCCTGTCGCCCCCAAAACGACGTCGTTTTGGGGGCGACAGGGGATGGCTACAGGGGAGGGCGACCGACGATCCGTTTCCTTGTCCACTTAGCTAAATTTGATGAACATCACCATTTTTTTAAATTATTTTATTTATTTATTTATTTATTTTGTGATAATCAAAAAAGAAGGAAACATTATTGATAAACCAAGAGAATATTATATCACTAAAGAAAAGGAATGAGTGAAAAAAGTATCATAACAAAACAAATAAATCCCAACTAAGTTGGCATCGATAAATTCGCCCAATCATATATTAGCACACCATCGAGAGTTGGTGAGTAACTAACCACAAACACAGAAACCAACCACACCCAATTAATAACTAAACAAAACCAAAAACAACAGAAACAGACCTCCTCCCTCTGTCTTCCTCTCCTTCCTCCCTCTTCTCTGCGTTTTTTTTTTTTGAAAATTTGCCCCCAAAACGACGTCGTTTTGGGAGCGACAGGAAAGGGCGACGGGTGATCCGGATTCAAGTGGACAAGGCCTACAACAATCAAGAACTGAAAGAAATTCAGGTAATGGTGAAGTTCTTCAAATTCAACTCAGTTCTTCAAATTCAAGTAATGGTGAAGTTATGAATGAATAACGAATTTATAATGTGAATCCTAAAATTAAAAATGATAATGTTGCGACACTTTGTGATTTTTGTTATGATATTTTAGAGTTTTGTTATGACATTTTTTAATGACAAAAAAAGTCATAAAAATATATCATATGTACTTTTTTAAGAGTGCACATTGTAGCATCTTTCATAAATCCCTATCAAATACAAAGAATTGAATATAGACCAAAGAAAGAAAGAAATAGAGCATAAGGCGATGAAAAATTAACTGAAAATTTAATTATGAGAGTGCTAACTTTTTAAATATTAAATTATGCAACAAATATATGAGGATAGTGTATGAGACATTTTGGAATGACATGAAAGATGAGTGTTTTGGGAAGTGTCTTTTTTTGTTTTGTTTTGTTTTTTTTTAAAAGTTTTTTGTGCACTTTTTTTAAAAAAATTTTCAAGAAGTTTTAAATTTCTACATTCAACTCAATAAGACAAACCGGAAAATTATAATTTTTTTTTAAAAATTCAAAAATAATTTAGAAAAGACAAAAATAAACATAAATAAATTATTTCTTTTGGCTTATTTTTGTCTTTAATGATTTTTTTTTTTACAAATTTTTTTAAAAAAATATACTTTTTAGATTCGTCTAGACAAGAAAGATCAGAAAAGTAAAAAATTTTGACATAATTTTGGAAAAAAAAAAGCACTAAAGACAAAAAAAAATTCAAAAAAAGAGGTGGTTTTTTCTTTTTCCCAGCCAAAATGGTATTTAGAATAACATTAAAAAATGTCCATAAAATTATAGGAATTAGAACCACACATCACATTACAATTTTTTTATTTTTTATTTTATTTATGGGAATCACATTAAACTTTATACCTAAAAAGATGGATATGAAATATTCACTCATCACATATAGATGACATAAATAAATAAAAATCATTAAAATAAAACCAAATATAAAATAAATTTTAAATTAAAAAAAAAAAGAGTGTCCCATGAATGCATAATTCCATTGAGATACACCTTAGGAAAACTTGCTAATTATGGGTCTTTTGGTGAAAGAAAACTTGCCCAATTAGGGGTTTCATGAGCGAGGGGTTGTAGTGGAGGAGGGCTAGCCACCAGCAGTGGTGGTCGGCGGAGTTGTAAAGGTGCAAAGAAGAGAGAGATTGTGAGTTTGGATAGGAGAGGATGAGTTTGCATCTATCATTTGAATTTGGGACCAAAATATAATTTTTCAACTTTTTCTGTTTCAAATGTGACGGCGGGGGTAAAATTGATAAGATTTCAAAAAATTTGGGAATAAAATTAAAATTATTAAATATCTAGGAGTGTCATTGAAAATCAAAGCAAATTATAAGAGTAAAAATAAAATTTTCTCTTTAAAAGAAGCTCGGATTTTTGGAGTTTTTTCAAAATTGAAGCAAATTGGTTTGTGGTGCTGTTACATAGAGGATGCATTTCAGAGATCATATGGGATAGATTTGGATTTCGAAAAGCACTTTGTGTAGGGATGGGAGAGGTGGATTGGCTGCGGTGAGTGCTCCGGGGAGGAGCTGAGGAAGGTGGTGTTGGTGGCTATTGTGAGTAGTTGCAGGTGGTGAGTTGGTTTTGGTTGAATAATGTTACATACCCACATTTTTATCTCACAAATCTCTTCTTAATAATGTGATAAAAAGGTAAGATTTTATATTATTAGATGTATAATAAATTAAAAATTAATACATATAATATCATAACATTATAAATATAATTGTAAGACATTTTTACGAATTTTCAACATTTTCCGGTTGGTTTGGTCATAGAAATGATGATGAGTCGTGTCAACTTAATAGTTTGACAGGAAAATGAGTGAAACTTAGCGTAAGTTCATAATATTCTCTCAAAATATTAGATTTTTATTTTATTTTTTATTATTTTAAAATAGAACGAATTATACTAACAATCCTTATAGTCTGGGGCTTGCGTCACTTTAATCACTGACTTTTTAATTGTGATATATTTGACATTTAATTTTGAATCTTGTTTCAAATGAAGACAATCAATGATATTTCATTTGTAAACAGTCTATTTCAAAAGTAAAGTCATCATATAACTTATTTTGTACTAGTTAACTTATATTTTGTTTGAAATGTAATGACATTTTTTTTAATGAATAATGTGCCACTTTCTTGGTTATAAAGTTTGTTTAGTTTGGTTTCGTTTGGTTTTCATAATTTACTTCTAGAATTTTTGTTTTAAGAAACTAAAAATTAATTCGGTAAAAAAAATAAATTAAAACACATTATTTTTATATAATTTTATCTTTTGAATGGGTAGAAATAATTTTTTAAAATATATATTTTTTATATTCATTAGTTTTTCTTTTTTCAAAAGTTAAATATAACGACAATTTTGATATCATTATTAAACAAATTCATTAAATCAAAAAATATAAAACTAAAAGTATTTCATATATTAGACATATCGATTACACATTTAAAACCTAATAACCATCCATTACGTGATAATCATAAAAAAAAAAAAAATCTATTTACAACAAAAACAACCATTTATTACGTGATAACCATCCAAAAGCATTAACAAAAAAACCACTCATTACATATCATCCAAACACATATTAAAAATTAATTTGGTATAAAAAATAAAAAATGAATCGTAGAAGATTTAGTATTTTTATATAATTTTATCTTTGGAGGATAGACATAATTTTTAAAAATTCAAAAATAACATTTGATATTTATTTTTGTCAAATTAGTTTATATTTTATCAAATTAACGACTTTGCCCTTGAAATTAAACATTTTTCATTTAGAAATGAAACAGTGTGTTTAATTGTCCTTATTTAGAATGAGATTCAAAATTCAGGGTCAAATGTATCACAATTGAAAGATGAGAGACCAAAAGGCACACCCTAAATTACAGAGACCGATAGTGTGACTAAAATAACAGAAATTTTTTATTTTGTTCTTCTTCTACATTCATTAGTAATATTTTTGAAGTGCAATAATTTACAACCAAATGGTAGTTTTGAAAAGTTGATATTGTTAAAATGTAATAATTGTGTACGAAAAAAAAAAAAGAAAAAGAAAAGGGATTCCTTAAAAGATTAATATTTGAAAGGCCATGGCTTCTATCCAGTTTGGGATCGGACTAGACTGTATTGTTGGGCCCATGGGGCCCACCACGGGTCTCGTTTTGATAATCTGAACCGTTCAATGTGTAGAACTCGTCGAGTACTATATGTCTGTAAAAAATCACGTTGATCGGATATCGATAGCTATGTGAACAAACAGTTTTTTATCAACCGTTAATTTTTTCACCGTTCATTTTTTTTATACAAAACTGATTTGATCACATAGCTATCGATATCCAATCAATGTGATTTTTTACAGGCATGTAGTACTCGACGAGTTCTACACATTGAACGGTTTAGATTTTCAAAACGGGACCCGTGGTGAGCTCTCACGGGCCTAATAGTACAGTCATTTGAAAACGGAGGAAAAAATAAAAAAAAAGGCCGAAGAGTTACGCAAAAAATGACACTTTTTTTTTAAAATAAAAAATCAAAAAATATGTCAAGACATATTAATTTTTTTCACTTTATATTTTAACTAAAAAATTAAAAAAATTATTAAAATAATTTATTTTCAAACCAACAATGTGTCATGACTTGGCAAAAATGTTTTAGACCACTAATTAGTAGTGGCTCTATTGATGTAGCAATGGGTCTCACCCACTGCCACATGTGTATTGTGCCTTTTTTTTTTTTCTTTCAATTTCCAATTCACTAATGATGGATTTAGAACTTCTTATTTAGAACTCTAAATCATTACTGCCAGTGTGTATTTTCAGACTTGGCCAGTGTGTATTTTCATTTTCGTCCCTAGTTAATGATTTTTTTATTTTTATTTTTGTTTAAGTGCAATGAACATTTGTATTTTCAACCAAACTGACTGTAGACTTCAAAGGTAATGTTCAAATTACTCAATTTAAAATAATCGAGGTCAAAATAAACTTCAAATCAATTTTGAGGAATTAAAAATTCTTAGCAAATTATGGGTTAATTATGTATATGTTTGGTTTGGATTTGTAGAGTGATTTTGAAAAAAAATTTCTAAAAAATTTGTTTGGTTTGTAAATTTTCCAAAACAATTTTTAAAATCACTTTTTCTCCTTTACCTATCAATTCATCACTTTTTCTCTCTCCTCTCTTATTCTCAATCATTTTTTCTCTCTCACACATCTATTCAGTTATAACAAAACATCAAATCATTCCAAATTTCCAAACTCTAAAACTACTTT